TGGGCTAAATAATTTTACAATTGTTATTTGGCTATACGACATATCGACAAAATTTTGCCACTCGAATTATCCGATTGTGCGGATTTAGGAACATTTCAATCATACCAGGGTTATATTCGCTGGGTTATATCCCAACCAGAGTTATATCCTCATATTTAAGCAGAATAAATTTTCTTTTTTTTTTGTTTTTATAAGTTTTGTATGAGTTAAAATTACTTTAAACACTAACATATTTTGTATTTTTTTTTTTAAAAAATTAGAGTCGAAAAACAATTTCAATTAGTTTCGAATTGCATTTCTCTTACAATCTTTAACAGCAGGTAGCTTAATGATTTGGGTAGATTTATGATATTATTGATAGGTAGGTTTATGATTCTAATGTTATTTAGCATCATTGATTCTTTTAGTAACAATTTCAAACATTATGTTTCACTAATGTTTCTTCATCCCTCGATTTTAAGCACTTGATCATTTCTTATGATATAATACAGTACTTGCATTTATTATTCATTATTATTAAAAATTTTTTAATTTATCTTATGTTCACTTAATCGAAATATTCAAATAGTACGTACCTTAGAAACTTCAAGGTTTATTTTTTATTTATTTATTTTTTTATAATGTCTACCCTCTTGGGAGCTGGGATTTTTATTCAAGTATATATAGCAAGGAGTTCTCTAGGGAACCCCCTACATTAGAGAGTACATACTAGCTACACGTATACTTTTGGTGTCTAATTTAAGTAGTCCGCCTGTACATCATACAGGTTCTACACTAGATGCCGTACCTGTAACCCAACTATGGGTGTTACCTGTTTGACCCTTCTGTAATGTAGCTAAACCTGTGTCACCAAGACATCTCCGGTACATTTGTTAGTCAAGAAGTCTTGGATGCTTTAACTGTTTTCTTAGGACTAATTTATCTGAAACTTCAAGGTTTATTAAAATTTGGGATTTCATAATTTATTATTAATATTTGCCATCAACAATACTTATTTAATATTAGTTTAATAGTTGTCACAGAGTTACCCAAACTACCGTGTATTACTTGGCTTCTACTATTAGTCTTTAACTCGCTTGGCAATTAAACGATGACTGGAGTATCGTGCCAGATACTGTCACTGATAATGTACTCATACAGATAACAGTTTATTCACTAAGAATAATTCAAAGAGCCAAAGTTAGGCATTTCCCCTATTTGGATCGATGCCTTATATATTAATACTAATCGCTAATGATTACTACATCGTTCATGCAATATTAATCGCTTCTGATTACTATATTGTTCATACAATCACTATTTTAGACTTTTTAATTACATCGTGATCACTCGATATATTATGCATTAATTAGATCACCGATCAACATGTTCCCGATCATGATCGGGTGACCTGTGATCGTACCTAACCCTAGCAATACCAATACAAGGGGTGTTGGTCATCAGCACGACAGGAGCTAGATCCCAGGTACTTCGTCCTCGAAGTTACAACAACTCATATCCATCCCACCAAGTTTTCTCACTTCAAAACGACTACCAAATACTGCACTAACTAGTCCATCATTCCCAATTACATGGTCTAAATATAGTCGTTTGAAAAATCTCATCCTTCCAAATACTATCGGGCTACTATTAAACCTTTGAATTTTGTTTTCACCAACAATACATGACATGTCCAGCTTTTTTGGATTACTACCATCTTCATCAAGACTTTCCATCACTTTAACTTTCGCATTGTCAATTCGCAATGCACTTTCACCTAAATCCGCATACTCATTATTTCCGACTTTTCTACTCATTTTTCGCTTTATCATCTGCAGCTTTACCCCATTATTAACAACATTTCTATTCACACTTCGGATATTGGGTATATATTCTTTTTCCTTTCTTCTAGTTTTCTCCTTCACACACACTTCTTACTAGGTATATCCTTCACAGGAATTTCATATACATTATCAAACAGATCTTCTAACCCAACAACTCGTGCAATCTCAAATTGCTTTTCCAATGATAATCTTCTCATATTCACCGGTTGACCTATATCTTTACCGTTCCAATACTCTTTCCCATTTACAATTTGCTGAAATACAACACCATTGAATTCATCAATCCCAATATCTCCTTTCGAAGGTGATCTCATCACTTGTTCTTTCATAGTACGTTTTAATTCATTATCGTCCTTTTCTGACGTTTTCATTACATGTCATACATAATACTCATCGATTTTATCATCTCTTGAATCACCACTACGGGTTTGTTGTGGACAAAAATAAGCAATATGGCCCACCTTTCGACATTCATAACATAGGCGTGATCTCCTATTTTTCCATTGTTTAAATCTCACCTCCTTTAAATTTTTCACAACCTCCTTCGTAACCATTTCTACAATCATTTC